CTGTGAGTGTTGTATCTGTGAATGAAGTGTCTGCGAATGTTGTGTCTGTGAATGTTGTGTCCACAAGGTTAGTGTCAGTGAGTGTTGTGTCAGTACGTTTTTATTTTTCTGTGAGTTTTGTGTCTGTTAGTGTTGTGGCCATTAGTGTTGTGCCTGTAAGTGTTGGGTCTGTGAGTGTTGTGTCTGTGACTTTTGTGTCTGTGACTGTTTTGTCTGTGAGTGTTGGGTCTGTGGGTGCTGTGTCTGTGAGTGTTGTGTCTTTGAATGTTGTGTATGTGAGTGTTGTGTCTGTGAGAGTTGTGCCTGTGAATGTTGTGTCTGTGACTGTTGTGTCTGTGAGTGTTGGGTCTGGGGGTGCTGTGTCTGTGAATGTTGTGTCTGTAAGGTTAGTGTCAGTGAGTGTTGTGTCAGTGTTTTTTTTTTTTTAGTGAGAGTTTTGTTTTGTGTCTGTTAGTGTTGTTGCCATTAGTGCTGTGCCTGTATGTGTTGGGTCAGTGAGTTTTGTGTCTGTTAGTGTTGTTGCCATTAGTGCTGTGCCTGTATGTGTTGGGTCAGTGAGTGTTGTGTCTGTAAGGTTAGTGTAATTGAGTGTTGTGTTAGTGAGATTTCTTTTTTTGTCCGTGAGTTTTGTATTCATTAGTGTTGTGTCTTTTAATGTTGTGTCTGTGACGTTTGTATCAGTGGGTGTTATGTCAGTAAGTGTTGTGTCTGGGAAGTTTGTGTCAGAGAGTGTTGTTTTTCTGAGTGTTGAGTCTGTGAGTGTTGGGTCTGTGAGTGTTGCGTAAATGAGTGTTGTGTCTGCAAGCGTTGTGTCTATAAAGTTTGTGGCAGTGAGTGATGTCTGTAAACGTTGTCAGTGAGTGTTGTGTCTGTGAGTGCTGTGTCTGTGAGTGTTGTGTCTGTGAGTGTTGTGTCTGTGAGTGTTGTGTCTGTGAGTGTTGTGTCTGTGAGTGTTGTGTCTGTGAGTGTTTTGCCTGTGAGTTTTGTATTTGCAACTGTTGTGTCTGTGAGTGTTGTGTCTGTGAGTGTTGTGCCTGTGAGTAGGTGGTGTGTCCGTGAATGTGGCGTTGTGAATGTTGTCAAACGAAGAGTCTTTTGCATGTCTTTATTAAGGTTTCCCCTAGTAATCAAAGATACTCTGAAGTGACATTATGCTAGATTGTGGCTCGCATTAGTTTAGAAAGTACTCAGTAGCTCCAACGACCATCCAACATCAATTCAGGGGTGAGGCGACTCAAAGTATGATTTCCACTGCAAAAATAATATATTTCTGGGCACAACTTTGCGGAAGTTACGTTATACTCGGTAGCTCCAAACACCGCTCCACAACTAGTTTTGAAATGCGTTCTGGGTCAGCTCGAGCGTTCAGTTTCTCCTCTACTTAACTGTATACACATGCATAGGACATAAACAAAGTAATATATTAAGTCCAGCCTGTCTGGACCAACTATGGATGGAATATAAAAAGATAACCTCCATCGGCGTTTCTGCAGTTTAAATCGTATGACGGCTATGCACAGTTCTGTCACATAGTTCCACCCCTCTTACACTCAGCAGCAGGGCAGAGTACTACAATTATAGTATTCTACAATGCACTTACCCATGCTCATTGGAAGTTCCTGTGGGAATTGGAGACTGTCAGCGGTGTTGCTAGAGATTTTCACAACGGCTAAACACGTCTGTATGCTTTGAGCCAAGAATGAGGATTTAAATTTGGGACTTGCTCTCAAGTTAGAAGCGGCAGGAACACCTTAGGCCGATAGTAAGAGGCCTCGCTACGCTTAGAAATCACTTACCTATGAGTGACTTCATAACATTACTCATTCCAAATAGATTTAGGAACGAACTGAGTACTTATCACATCTTGGCACATAAGTACAAAAGAATGGCTATTTACTTATGGAGAAAAGTCCAAGATTTTAAAATAGCTAATTTACATAGAGTTGTTCAAGATGTGGGCAGGTTCAAGACCAAAGGGTTGTTGTGCTGTTATGCGACATACATGAGTGTGTGTTGTGTCTGTGAGTGTTGTGTGGGTAAGTGTTGTGTGGGTAAGTGTTGTCTCAGAGTGTTGAGGTCTGCTTGTGAATATGTGTTGTGTCTGTGAGTGTTCTGTTTTTTGAGTGTTCTGGTGTGTATGTGAATGTATGCTGTGTACGTAAGTGTTGTCTTGTTAGTGTGAATTTATGCCGACTATAAGTGTTGTATCTGTAAGTATTGTGTTGTATCTTTGAGTTTCGTGTCTGTGAGTGTTGAGCTGTGTGTGTGTGTGTGTGTGTGTGAATGTGTGTGTGTGTGTATGTTTGTTTATTTCTATAAGTGTTGTATCTGTAAGAGTTGTGTCTGGGAATGTTGTGTTTGTTCTGAGTCTGTGTGCGTATGTTGCGTCTCAATGTATATAGTTTCTGTGTGCGTATGTTGTGTCTGTATATATGTTTGTGTCTATGTGCATATGTTGTGTCTGTAAGCATATGCTGCGTCTGTATACTTCTTCTTCTTCTTCTTCTTGTTCACCGGCTGTGAATTCCGGCGGTAAGTCACGGTTGTTCGTCCAAAATGGACTTTTGGCTTTTACCTTGACCTGAGTTTTGCGTGTACATCCGTTTTACTGGCTTATTTGTTTGCAGTGCTCGTTCCCCGCCTCTCCGGCAGATGTACTCCGACTTCGGAGGAAGTCTGTATACTTGAATGTGGCTGTTTCCGTATGTTGTATCTGTATATGTGTTTGTATCTGTGTGCCTATGTTGTGTCTGTACATATGTGTTGTGCCATTTGTTTATATTGTGTCTACATATGTTTAAATAATGTGTTGAAGGCTAAGTTAGATTCCACTCTACAAGACTTTTACTGTGGGAGACTGGGCATCTATATGTTTGCCAGCAGTGGTATAGAGTCTCTTCTTTAAACAGTATTAAACAATCATTATCATCATCAGCAGGTGCCTTGCCGACTGGCGTGGGCAATCACGCCTCTGCATAATCTCCGATCTCCTGCAGCATGTATCAGTTCGTGTGCCGACACACCTCCATGCCATGCAACAAGACTGTCAAGCATCTTCTCTCCTTGTCTTCCTCTATCCCTCCTTCCACAGATCTTTCCTGTGGTCACAACATGTTCTATTTTCCCTCTTCTCATAACATAGCCGAAAAATGATGACTGTCTCGTTCTGATGTCTGTGATAAGTTGACTTCGGGCTCCCGCCTCTTTCAAAACCTCTTGGTTGCTCTTTTTTGGCTGTCCAAGGTATTCTAAGCATTCTTCTGTAAAACCACATCACTGAGGCCTCCAGAAATTATTAAACAATACTACATGCATTTTCTCTACAGAGCATCGAAAAACAATTCTTCTCCTTCTACTTTTTTTTTTCTTTCTCTCTGCTGCTGGAATGCCTGGTGGCGTCAGGGCAGGAAGAGATCTTTGGACTGGGCCTTTCTGCACTCTTTGTATAAAGTACTTTTCTTTGTCTCTGATATTTCTGCGGTCCATTTTCTGCTTAGTCGACCTCTGTTCTACTAACGCTGCATCTGTATACCATTGCTCACTGTGGGGCCCTGTCTGATGCCAGTCTTGTTACATGACCAAACCATTTGAATTGTTGCCTACCTATGAAGTTCAGTATTGGTTCTATGCCGACCCTCCTCCTGATATCATCGTTTAAATTTAAGTCTTTCCACGTTACACCTAGCATAGTACGTGTACGTTTCATTTCTTTCGTGACTATTTTCAGTCTTTCTTCTGAAGACAGTGTCCATGTTTGACAATGATAGCATGCAGTGGTAAAAGTATTGTGTTCTTTTGCTAAAACAATTTCAGCATATCCAATCTCTTTGTGGTTTTCCTATTGAATTTTTAGTAATGTGTGATTGCTTTCTTATGTTGACAGCGAAAAGCAGTCGCTTCATTTGTCTGTAATCACTTTGTGGTTTTACATATACACAAAAATTATGTAGTAGTCATTCATTTCTCAACGGTGGAAGCACATACTATTGTCCAAATCAAAGTTCTACTGCCAGTTCACGTGTAGTTGACGTGAACGCATGTTTGTGAATTACGAACTACATGTAAACTGCTTGTATGTCTGTCTATCTATAGTTACATCAACATACCCAATTCATTGACCTAAATCTTTTGGCTTATTCGTCCGTTTGTCTGTCCGTCTGTCTGGGAGTTGCTGTGGTGTAGCAGGTGGTCGCTCGCCTGCGTCTCGGAAGGTCGTGGGTTCAAGGCCTGCTAGGACCAGGCTTTCTTCAAAAATGATCTTGGCTTGTTTTAGTGGGTACCGTGTGCAGTCTTGGGAAGTAAATACGGCCGGCGCGATGTTGACTACATTACCCACCAAGTGCCGATTGGTCTATAAAATATAGGTCTAGTCCTGTATGTCAAGTACACCTGAATAACGGGACCTTTGCTTCGGTAAAATAAATTTATGTAACCTATGGTGCCATTTCAATGGTTTGAAATGATATATGTCTGTATTCTATACTTGTGGATTTCAAGCTGTACGAAAGACATGGCAAATAAGACACCTTTTTTGGGGAGAGGGAAAAGGGGTACCCAGTTGACCATGTTCTTAGTTCACTTGTTTACATAGCGAGGCTCACACGCTGTCTAGAGGTGACAGGTTCGTTTCTTGGCACGGTAACTACAGCTTTCGATGTTTATATTGCATACTGTGTTTTTCTATCTTTCTACCTCTTTTTTAAGTGCCAATCAATACATTTTCTGTTACTTTATTAATATACAGAAGACGTAGAAAAATGCCTTTTATTTTTGTTTTACTTTAAATGACTGATCGTATGTCTGTCTATCTCTGTCTACCTGTCTCTCTTTCTATCTGTACATATACTTTTGCTACAGGCTCCAAATCGATTGTGTTTGTGAATGTGGAGAAAAAAGTCAACGACGACGTGATAGTCTCTGACATCAATCTGAAGATTGAAGAGGGCGACGTCTTCTGCCTGGCAGGGTCAGACCTAGAAGCACCCAGCGCTCTTGTAGACATGATCTGTGGCATGCAGACGCCAACCTCGGGCAAGATCTATGTCCACGGGAACAAGGTGTTGTCTGGAAGAGCGGTACGGCGTTTTGTCTTCAAATAGTGGCGTCTATTGTGTGTGTTGTCGGCTCTGTGGCTAAGTCTATGCGAACGCTTCGTAATGCCGGGGTGCCGGGTTCGATCCCAGCTGCAGGCCATGCGCCTTACGTTAGTTTCGACAGTGGCTTCAAAAAAGCCGCGATCCAAAAAGCAATGGCAAACTACTGAACGTAAATTTGCATAGAAAAACCACATCACAGCCAGGGGCTGTTGGGGTTGGTTCTACAACGTCCTGGAAAGGATACGCAGCTAATCTTAATTGTGCATGTTAGTGTTATGAGTTATGAGTTATGGCTTGGGTTATATTCACGGCATTGCGGACACGTCCATAGGTGCTCAGATTCCCCCATCAACATATATATCAGCGTCCCTTCCTTTAATGGTCCCAGTTTTATGTTGGTTGACAAGACTTCTGGTGCGTCCGGTGTGCTTCTTGTGCCTGGCTGTGCCGATCTTTACTCCCAGTTCTTGTACTCTTAGCAGAGATGTGGATATGCTGCTCCCAAAATCCCCCAAACGTCCTACCTCTCTTATAACGTTAACAATATCGGCATGATCTATGGGCCGGTTCTCTGTAGGTGTGTGTTAATGTGTGTATATGCGTGCGCGCGCGTGTGTCATATGTGTATGTGTGTGGGCGCGCGCATTTATGTTTTTATATCGGCGTCTGGGGCTGATCCCTCGATTATACACGCAGTTTCATAATTCTAAAACAGAGTTTGGAATTTAGCTGAAAGGGGGATCGACAATAGAAAGCCTTGCTTTGATTTGGCAGTGTACGGGTCTAAGTTTTTACAGGGCAGTGGTACACTGCTGAATGGTGATTTTCCTAATTAAAAGCTCCCAACTGCCAACAAACTCTACCGCTGTTTCATGACGTCATGTTAAGGATTTGGAACTGTTTTCTACCCAAACCCAACCACACCAGACTACAGATCGCTTTGTAACCGTTTTGTGGTGCCAGGCCAGGATATAACCATACAGTGGCGATACAGTTGCTCTCAGCCTTAAAATGGACCGAGTGGTCCCGAGGCTGGTGTACGCCTCAAGTGCTGGAGACCCCGGGTTCAGTCCCCGGTTAAGGCTGGGATTTTTTCACCTAGGCTTCTAGTAATTTCCCCTGGTCTCTGGGTAGTTAGATCGGACGCCCGTGTGACTTGTTGTCCTTGGTAGCTGGAAATCGAAAAAAAGAGAGTCCATCCAGAGAACAATCCTAAAGACCCAGTCGATCTCCACGCGCGAAAGAAACAGACCGTTTTACATAGACTGGGTACTAGGCACAGCAGAATCAACATCCGTATTTGCCAGAAATGACTAGGGATTCATAACTTTGACTTTTCGGTGGCTGCGTGGTCTCGAGGCATGGTGTCCGCCCCGAGTGCTAATGGTTCTGGGTTCAGTCCCTGCTAAGAGCTAGGATTCTTTCACATGGACTTGGACAGTAAGTAACTAGTAATTTCCCCTGGTCTCTGAGTAGTGAGATCGAACGCCCTTGTCAGTTGGAAATCGAAAAGTTGCCTAACGGGCAACATTCTGAGTTAAAAATCAACCCAAAGTATTTCAGGATCCTCGACAGTGCTACAGAGCCTGTGCACTATGTTGATCTTCTTCTGACTGACATTTGAGTTAAAAGAAGAAACGGAGCACTTATGGGTTACATGATGCTGATCCGTTGTATAAAACCTCAAAACCTCAAACTTTGACCTTGTAGACGGGCACTACAGAATACTGAATATGTGCTACAAACATACTTTCTACAAGAGAGATCCTCGATTTGCGAGGAAAGTAAAGGGGAAAGTAAACTAAAGGACCCTTGTCTCCACACCCCATTGAATATTGGGTTGATCTTCTTCCTCCTCTTTTTTCGTCACCGGCTGTAAACTCTGGCGGAAAGTCCTGGTTGTTCGCCCATTAGGACAGAGGATAGGAGACTCGATAGAAAGATGGAAGCCAGAGTAGTTGAATGAAATGCTGCCAGCTACAAGTTAGCTCGACTGCTTAGACGTCTCAGTGTCTCCCTCCCAGCAAAACAGCAAATGATTGATATCATCCTCATCCCTACTGTATACTGTCAGTGCCAAACATGGACAATGAATAGACCACTCTGTAAGGTCACAGACAACACAATAAGGGACAGAGTTACTAATTTCAGTATTAGAGAGAATAAGGCCATGTCTGGATTATATTGACAAAGAGTTAAATGGTTCAGCCATCTAGTAAGAAGGCAGTAGGACGAAGCTGCATATGCGACTTTTTACACGAGAACATCTAAGAGAAAGGCGAGGGAAAGACCAGCAAAGAGATGGATACACGGTGTAGCTGAAACCTGCAGAAAGATGAACAAATATATCGCCCAAGGCCCCCCACCCTCGAGAATCACAGAACAGATACAGAAAACTGCGACA